TTATAAGAAATAATAATTTTAAACGTAATAAAAACAAATCTTACAAAGATACAAAAAAAAGAATATATAATTAATACAACATTATATAAAATTTAATGCAACGGTTGAGCTTGATTTTCAGCACAAATTTTCTCAAACCGTGGTATCATTAAAGAAATCGCGGTTCTCAGTTCCTTTTCAATCACTAAGAGAGATCGATACTTTGTTTTTAAGACAGCTACTGTAGAAAAACTAGTTTCACATAGCTAAGATGTTACAAATGGCAATAAAATTTCTAAAGCTTCGTTTGTTAAAGTAGGAAAATCGTCGTAGTCGAAAATGATATTTTGGAAACAGCTGCATGCCCCCTTTTGCAACAGTCTCGCGCCCCACAGGTTGGAAGCCACTGCCTTAACTACTCAATCGATCATCATGAAATTTTGTAGACAGATTGTCAAGGGTACAGAAAAAAACATACGCTACATTTTATCCAGAAGAAAAAATGCTGTTCCCGAGGCTTAAAAAGATTAGTTTTATGTGGTCATCGATAATCTTCGACACGTATTTAGGACATCAACGCGAGCGAAGCAGCGGGAAAATCTATTTAATAGATACATTCAAAGTTCTCACAAACCACCGAGTCAATTTTTACGATCCTGTAGTCTGCTTACTTCGCAAAGACGATGTGCTTGGTTAAATTAACTTTAATAAATTATGCTAGGCACCTATGACATGAACTCTTTAGGGTTACATCAACTCCAAGTTAAGAAACCCTGTCATGAGGCAAACGTTGTATTTCTGCTATATTTATGTTATTTCTAAAACTAACTAACAACTAATACGTACATAAAACATAACCCTTAGTGCGTAACACTTCAAACCGTACCAAAATATCCCATGGTCAAGGTCATGAGAAAAGTTATAAGCTACAGTAGTTAATTTCTAAATTTCAACTCATCGTCAAAAAGAAATATGAAAAAGACTTTTGCTCGCCCTACATATTCGTACATTTATATTTATATGTATACGTTATTTGTTTACAATTATTACAAACTTTTACCGAAACTAATTAAATATTACGCTAATTTCAAGCGCCTAAGACAGAAGCGATCGTTTAATTGCATTTTTGTTTTGTATGGTGTTATCATTGATACCATTGTGAACTCTGTCATCATGCGACCGAATTGGCTAACTTACTGTATTATTTGATATCTACCTAAAGTTTAGCGAAAAATGTATTTTAATAAACAATTCAACGTTTAAATTAATCGTAATCAAGGCTTATTATGGTCGTAGATAAAAGTAGAGCAACAGAATGATGTCAACGAGTACATTCCGTATCACTCTACAGAACAACTTGCAACGTCTTGTGCCATCATCATCCACCTCATCCGCTATTTTATTTAACAGGACAATGAGCAACACCACCCTTATAAATGCAGGTAACAAAATCCCCATTACTTTTTAAATTGTTTGAAACTACTTTAGACAGATTAATGTTATGATATCCTATTGTTACGAAAATTTCTTGATTGTTGACTGACTTTTTGTATAGATTAATCCATGAATTGACTATTCAAGATTTTTTTTTTAATTTCAGATATGAATAAATTTGATAATTAATTATTTCCACAATAAAACTTATTATTTTCCCGAGTTTGCAACTTTAAATTTTGTTCCTTTCAAATTTGTGAAGACAAACAATTTCTTATCTATTTATCAGTAGCTATTGTGACATATTTATTTTTCTGAAAATTTCATCGTCCCACTACAATCACAATTTTAAGAATAAATTGAAAAGTAGATAAAAAACTTTAAATTACGTCAATGAAACACTAAAAAGCCAGAATAGTTGAACAGTTTTCATTTCTACTAGCTTTTCCCCGCGGCTTCGCTCGCAGAAATTAGTATTGTTTCTCCATAAAACCTTTTAACTCCCAATTCACCCTTACAACGTTTTAATTTTATGTAATGTCGCCATCTTAGATTTCAAATACAAACGTAGCAACATTTCAATCTTACGGGGTGATTTTTAAAAATTGCTAAAACACGCATTTGCTTAATTTCAATAATGAGCAACCTTCGAGTAAATCCGAGTACAAATAAAATATACCCCATGGAAACGTTGCAACCTCTTTTCATTTGATGAATAATATCAAACAGCATATATACCAAGTTGCCCCAAACAAAAATTTGCAACACAGTTTTACCCCCCCCCCACTTTGGACTTTCAGAAACTAAATGAGAGACCACTAAGACCAAGTTTCAAGTAAATTTGACGACAAATAATATATGTTCCATTTAAACATTTCAAATCCTCTTCACCACTCCTCCCCCCCCACGGGAACGTGATAAAAAGTATCCGTCTCCTGGTTGTAAGCTATCTCCCCAACAATTTTCAGTCAAATCGGTTCAGCCGTTCTTGAATTAAAAATAGTGTAACTAACACGATTTTGTTTTATATATATAGATTAAGTAATCACCTGATGTAAGTCCTAAAACTGGCTGGACACGCACCTCCACCTTTTTCATCTTGTACCAATCCCTAAAACTCCCCCATCCCAGCAGTAATCTAATCTAGGTCTACCTCTATTTCTTTTAACTCCTATTTCTTTATCCAAAATAAGTCTCTAACTAACACATCATGTAAGGGAAGGTATCCTGCCAATCTATTTCTTATTGGTTCTATCCTCCTACTTTTTTTACAAATACCTCCTCATTCCTAGCCTCGGCTATGCGAACATACCATCTAATTTTTAATGGATTTAAAAAATCTAAATAGGTGCCATTTAATAGGTCACGAATTGGTCATAATTGGTCACTTGGTCTCAATAGGTCACGAATTGGTCATAATTGGTCACTTGGTCTTATTAATTGGTCAGCGATAGAACTCTTTAAATCTAATCTTTAATTTTTTTTTGACTTTTAAAAAATGTTACCACCTTTGATTCCACTTACATAAAAAGTAAAGAGTGTTTTCAAAGGATATTTTATCGCTGATAATTGGTCAGTTAAAAATTAATAATCGGTCAGTTATAATAAATTGCACGAGGTTAGAAAAGTTTTCGTGAACATTTATTAAATTCCTTTGTGTTTTTATTTAATTCACGCAGATGAAATCGCAAATAAAAGCTAGTCTTTAGTGAGATACCTGAATTTACAGTAGTTTTCGAAATATTGCAAAATATATGTTTGCATGAATAAATTCTCAGCAGCAGGTTTAATTCAAACGGAATAATTATTTATTAAGTTAAATAGAAAGGTTACAATTATATATACAAAGTAAGAATCCATTTTACTATTATATATTTACAGTAAACAGCCAGAACTCTAGAATATTGGAGAAGGTTCAAGACTCGATAAAGAGAACTATCCTTAACATTTTTTTAGATTTCTTAGTTTCTTAACCTGTAAAATCTACTTAACCTGTTTTACTATTTGGGCTAAATGTTAAATTATCTTATGATTAGTTTGGCATCTAGAAACTGGATTACTCGATCTCCAATTATTCATGAGCCACCTTGTATATATAGAGTAGAACATGTAACGATGAAGTATTTAACATACAACTAATATACAAGTAAAACCAATATATATCAAGTGTTTAATTGCACACCCATCTGTTAGTCGTGTACAAAATAATGCTCTCAACATAATCTCATTATTTGAACATTTTTTCCTACATTAAAATGTACTTTATATGCATACATGTATATATACCGTGACGTTAACGTGTACTACACTTTTCATACTTTGGAAGTCCTTGTGGAAGAATGCAACCTTTAGGGGTCATATTTCAAATTATCATAATTCGAAGAGTTTGACATTTTCCATAAGGGTCTAACGGGATCCTTTTGTGTTAATAATAAATTTGACTAATAATTCATATTGATAACGTGGTTGGGATATTTTGAAAATAATTAAAAATAAAATAAAATTTAGCTTTTAAACGTTTCGAAAAATTTAGTAAAATCTCTTCATAATGGTTAGACATGTTACACCTTTTTCATAATTTGAAAATGCTCTTAAGCTTGCAGTAATTGCTCATTTCTTTATTTGCTAGAAAATGCTAATAGTAGTCAATAATCTGGGTATACTGGACTTTATTTGGTCGTTACTAACATAAAAATCATTTATAATAAATATCTCCTAATTTTTAATTGTTCCGCAAAACAAAAAGTTCAAATAGCCTGTCGAAACTGTCAGGCGTGCATCGAAATATCCCCTTATTACGTCTCGTCAGCACGTCGTACTCAGGCGAATTCTACCTGCTACCTTTAGCCAGCGTTTAATGTATTACTACAAACAGCGTAATGACCGCCATCTGTAGAATGCTATATTTTATTCCACAAAAGTTTTGTTTTCGGCCTTTATTTTTAATATGTAAAATTTAAAAAAACAAATCTGTACCTACGAGTATATTATGATTCTAACTCATACTTTTTTCAAGTGTTTTTTTAATAATTAAATCATTATTTTCCTACTTCATTCCGACTAATCCACGAATATGTTTCAGATACTCCAATTATCTCTTTGGATGAAGTTAAAAGATTTATAGTTGACTGTATGAAAGCCGTTGGTACACCAGAAAATCATGCCTCTGAGTTAGCAGAATTATTGGCGGATGCTGATTACAGGGGACATTATAGTCATGGGATGAATAGACTGGGTATGTGGGTATGCTTTCTTTTATTATATAATCATTATAAGGTCGTCACGCAGTCCGAAGACTGGTTGGACACGCACCTCCACCTTTTCCTATCCTAAGTAAATCTTCGCATTTCCCTAAAACTAGAACAATCCACATCCTTAACTATTTGCGAACAGTGATCTAATCTAGATAAGTAAGGTGTCCTGCCAACCTATCTATCCTATTTCTTTTAGACTTCCGTAGAGTCCTCTGTTCTCTTACCCTTTCTAATACCTCTTCATTTCTAACCTTCTCTATCCACGGTATCCTAATCATTCGCCTGTAACACTACATTTCGAACGCTTTTAACCTTTTCTTTTCCACCACGCCCACTGTCCATGTTTCGCACCCATACAGCGCCGTGCTCCAAATATACCACCTTTAACAACCTTTTTCGATTTTCTAAATTAACCGTTCGGAAGCATAGAAGTGACTTCTTTTTATTGAAGGCGATTCGACCCTGCACTATCCTCTGCTTTATATCCCTACTACTCCTTCCGTCCTAACTTATCTGACTTCCTAGATACCTAAAATCAGCCACTTCAAATTTTTTCGTCTCCTGTATTTATATTCGCTCTTTCCCTACTTTTTCTTCCCTTATATACCAGTATTTTTGTTTTACTTTTACTTATTTTCATACAATACTGTTTTGACAATACCGCTTCCATTTTATTTAAAGCTATCTCTAACTCCTCCTTGCTAGATGGTAATACACTCTCCTTTTTCTTTCATTTTCTCTATTCTCTAAATGTACTAATGATAAAATTTGCAACATTGCTACGGTTAAAGCAGCAGGACTTATTCAAATAATACTCTGTAGGGTTAACATCTAGCCTGCAAGGTAACCAATATTGTATCTAAATGCGAAAGGGTAAGATCATTCTACGTAAAGAAACGAACACCGTTCCAGCAGGCAATAAAAACCCTCTCAAACCTAAACTGTTCTAAAAGTACACTCCATTATTATGTATATGTTTTTTTAATAGAGATAATAAAGCGAGTTAAAAAGAAAAATATTTGAAAAAGTTGAAATTACAGCATGATGTCAATAGGTTACAGCTATTTTAAATGTAATATCCCACATAGTAAAACGTCTCTATAATTCTGTTTTTCATACCTAGGTAGATTGAATATGACCAAACCAAAAATTAAAAAAATAATTTCAAGCACATTATCTTTAAGAAAGAAACTACCTACACTAAAAAAAGATGTTAAAAATTGATTTGGTAGTTTGGGAGAAAATTCATTTTCAATTTGTCTCCCGTTTGTAATAGTGCATTATTAACACGTATGTATCGGGTTGTTCGGAAAGTCATTTCTTTTTTTCCCGACAGAGGATTTAATTGTATTCTTTTGCACCCAACTTCACATTTAAGCCGTATAATTTTTATATGCTTTGAGAGCTCATATAGCAAGGCTTGTGTGTGAAAAATTCCAATTAATTCTACGCAGTAGTTTTTGGTTGGTGCCCTTTTAAATATGGAGAGCGATAAGCAGCATTTTCGACATATCTTACTGTTTTACTACAGAAAGGGTAAAAATGCTGTTCAAGCCAGAAAGAAATTGACTGATGTGTATGGAGAAGGTGTGTTGACAGTACGCCAGTGCCAGAACTGGTTCGCTAAATTTCGATCCGGCAATTTTGATGTCGAAGATGCACCACGTTCGGGAAGGCCGGTTGAAGCTGATAAAGACGCGATAAAGGCATTAGTTGATGTGAACCGGCGAATAACAACACGTGAGATCGGATTGAGGTTAAATTTATCAAATTCAACAGTTTATGACCACTTGAAAGGCCTGGGATTATCCTCGAAGCTCGATGTATGGGTTCCCCATGTTCTCACAGAGAGAAATCTGTGTCGCCGCATTGACGTCTGCGATTCGCTTCTCAAACGTCACGAAAATGATCCGTTTTTGAAGCGCATCATCACTGGGGACGAAAAATGGGTTGTATACAACAACGTCAAACGCAAGAGGTCATGGAGCAAAAAAGATGAACCGGCTCAAACCATTTCCAAAGCCGATATTCACCAAAAAAAGGTGATGCTGTCTGTTTGGTGGGATTTTAAAGGAATCGTTTTTTTTGAGCTTTTACCGGATAACACAACGATTAATTCGGAAGTCTACTGTCATCAGCTGGACAAACTGAATGATGCACTTCAACAGAAAAGGTCAGAACTAATCAACAGGAAAGGTGTAGTGTTTCACCAAGACAACGCGAGACCTCACACAAGTTTGGTCACTCGCCAAAAGCTTTTACAGCTTGAATGGGATACAATGCTACACCCACCATATTCTCCAGACCTGGCACCATCGGATTATTATTTGTTCCGGTCACTCCAAAATTTTTTAGACGGTAAAACCTTCACCTCAAATGAGGAGGTCAAAAACCTCCTCGATCAGTTTTTTGCCAGCAAAGACCAAAAATTTTATGAGCGTGGAATTATGCTACTACCAGAAAGATGGCAAAAGGTGTTGGACCAGAACGGTCAATATATAATTTAATAAAGTATTTGTTTATTATACGAAAACTGTCTTTCATTTCCACAAAAAAAAAACGAAATGACTTTCCGAACAACCTTATATATGTATAGTTTATAAAAAGATCAGTTCTTCGTGAAATATTATTTCAATAAATAAATACAAGAACAATATTTTTTCGATCTTATCTGTCATTATCATCGGTAAAGGTAGTACTGTAATACACATTAGATGATATATATGTATTAATATAAATCCATTTTTTGATTAGATATGTATATCGAAGGCCAAACCATTAAACAATTCTGATGACATTTCATAATACACGACATTGCAGTACTAATAGATATTCATCATACTTAAATACCAGCCACATCGTTTAAGATATCAGCCCATCAAAAATAATGTTTTTAATCAGTAAACTGACGATATTCCCTATTTAATTTAATAACATTTGTAATATAGTATTGAATGAAGACAAAAAATAGAGCAATAAATAGTACTAAATACATCATAAGAATTGTAAATTACTAACCTTTTAAATGATGTGTTCAGAAGTTCTTGGTTTTGCATGACTATGGGAAAATGCACTTACAGCATCTGACAGTACGCTAAAATTCCTTCTAAATCGTCGATGTAAATAAAGGCATAACTAAACAAACTGCTAACAGCGCCGCTTCACAATATATGGCGTGAATTAAAATTATTCATTTTATAATTCACTGAATTACTGCTTTTCTTGAAATACTATTGTTCAATGAATTATTTGGGCATATCATGATGGTCAACTGGGCTAAATACCGTTCGCATGTTAAATATACGAGAATTATACTGAAAGAGACGACACTCCCCCACCCATATCTTCCTAAAAATGAATAGAATAGAGCTAATCATCATCATCATATGGTCGTCAGTCTTAAGACTGGTTGGACACGTACCTCCACTCTTTCCTACCCTGAGCTAAACTTCGCATTTCGCAAAAAGTAGAACAACCCACATCCTTAACTATTTGCGAACAGTAATCTAACTTAGGTCTACCTCTACCCCTCCTAACTCCTGTTTCTGCCTCTAATATGTCTGTGATTAGACCTTCATGCCTGAGAAGGTGGCCTACCAACCTATCTCGCCTATTTTTTATTGTCTTCCATAGAGTCGACTATTCTCCTATTCTTTCTAATACCTCTTCATTTCTAACCTTTGCTACCCACGTTATCCTCATCATTCTTCTAACCTTTTGTTTTCCGCCGCGCCCACTGTCCATATTTCGCACCCGTACAACGCCGCGCTCCAAACATACACCTTTAACAACCTTTTTCGAATTTCCAGAATAACCGTTCGCAAGCATAGAAGTGACCTCTTTTTATTGAAGGCTACTCGATCTTGCGCTATCCTGTGCTTTATATCCCTACTACTCCTTCCGTCCTGACTTATCTAACTTCCTAGATATCTAAAATCAGTCATTTCTTCTAATTTTTCGTCTCCTATCTTTATATTCGCTCTTTCCTTACTTTCTCTTCCCTTGCATACCAGTATTTTAGTTTTACTTTTATTTATTTTCATACAGTACTGATCTGTCAGTACCGCTTCCATTTTATTTAAAGCTACCTCTAGGTCCTCCTTGCTAGATGCTAATACTGCTATATCATCTGCAAATCTAAGCATACTAATCTTTTGCCCTTGCAC